TTTTTTTTTTTTTTTTTTTTTTTTTTTTGTTGTTGTTGTTGTAGTTTTTGGATAGGGCCAGGTTTGAACCCACCACCTCCGGTATATGGGGCCGGCACCCTACTCCTTGAGCCACAGTCGCCTGTGGCTTCTTCTTTAATGCAGAGAAAAAGCACCCATTGCAAGAGACTATAATGGTTTATTCAACATATGATTTCAGACATTCTATTGCAAGAGACTATTAAATATAGTGCTTGGTTTATTCGATATGTGATTTCATGGACATTTCTGTCTACCTTTACCCAGGTGTTCCCAGTACTGCCCCTTTTCCTTTTCCTTTTACTCCAAGACACACAAAAATTGCAAACCATGTAACAAACACCGTAAACAAGATTGTTATAAAATCATTCAAACGTAGTAAGAAAATAATTAAAGGGAACGGGAAATCTGGAAGGAAAATTATAACTCTATCTTCTCTCTTGTTCAGGCCAGCAGAGCTACAAGTGGGTTCCTTATAGAATTTTACCCAGCTCAGGACACACTAAAACTGTGCTCTGGTGCCCTCTGCTCATTTATATGAGAATGGTTAAAGAACTATAGGGTGGCTTGGAGTGTGTTTGTGTGTTTTAGTGACTTGGGGCATGTATCAGTTGGTCTTTGAGAGAAATCGTCCCCATACTTGATGTTTTAAACACTAGCAGGGTGCTTGCTAATCTGTGCTTTAGATCGGCAGTCTGGTGATCTGAGCCAGACTTGGCTGATTTGGGCTGGGTTTGCTCATATGTCTGCAGCCAGCCTGGCAGGAAGGAAGAAGGCAGCTAAGGGCCGTCTGGTCTGTGACGGCCTCAGCTGGGTCAAGTGGGAAGCCTGGGGACGCTCTCCACATGGTCTTCCATCATCCTCCAGGCCAGTCTGGACTTGTGCACACTGCACGGCAGGGTCCTGAGAGAGAGCGAGAGTGTGCAAGGCTTCATAAAAGCTTAGGCTTGGAAATGCCTGCCTGCTACTTCTGCCACTTTCTATCTCCCAAAACAAGTTATGAGACCAGCCTCAGTTTAAGGGCAAAAGGAATCCCATGGGGATGAGCTGCCAAGTCATGTTACAGGACATGGA